CAAAATTCTAAAATCAGTGTTTATGTTTACATGACATTTCTTTAAGAAATACCATAAAAGTGTAATATCTTCGTAACAATAACCTAAGGACACGAACTCTTTTCAGAGTATTCGTAACTAATTTGGATCTACATAATGCACATAGTCTCGACTGAAAAAAACCGATTGAACAATTGGAGGATTTTTTCCGTAAATTCTTGTTTCGATGAACTTTTATTGTCCATGAATTAGTTTATCACATTTCAACTTTCGACTTCTCTATGACATTTTTACCTTTATGATAAAACTATGATCTATCACTAATAATAATGTAGAATACAAGATGAAAATTGGTCTGTCGAAATCTATTCAGTCAATACCGACTTAATCGAATATAAAACTTTGTAGAACTGTAAATAGACAGGTATAATTGAAATAACCATGATGCTTGAAGTGTCCTCTATTCATTCGTATGTTCAATTATTGCTGGAACATCATTAAGAAGTGTCTCCAGTTACATCTCTCAAACAACCGTCTCAATGGATTACATCTTCAATACGACAAAGTAATCTGCTGAAATTAGTGAAATAAATTGATTAGTAAACGATCTAAAAGTGTCAAATTCCCTCATGCTCATATTAAATAAGCATAGCTTTTCTTGTCAGTTAAACAAATTTTCTTGTCATGTATAAAACACACTTAGAAAGTGTTCTTGTAAGAATTCACAACCCCTATGGAAAATGTTTTATCACTAGTCCTTCTGAGAGAAATGCAAAAAATACAATAAGGTTCAAAATTTCTAAGTCTGAAATTTTGCATGTCGTCCTAAATATGTTTAAACATTATACTAGAATAGTTGCACTGAAATTATAACTTTTTGAAAAGCTGAACAAAAAAACACTTTTCGAATGTCCTATGTAAATAAATTTCTTTGATTAATCTTTATTATAGTCAATGAAAGAATTTATCTCAATGGTATTAATATTCACAATGATATTTTTCATAAATTTCATCTTATACCAAATACATATCAAAGAAATTTTATTTATCTTGGTATTTCTTTACATGAATATAAAAATTTTTCTGCTCAATGTATTATTTATGGTGAATTGAATAATTCTATTTCAAATCATCGTCGACTTATACGTCTTCTTTATATTCTTATTGGTTGTGGAATATTTTTGCTTAGTTTAATTGTTTGTAGTATTATGAATGATCAACGACAAATAAAATTAAAACAACAATTAGAACAACAAGAAATAATTGATAATAGACATACAATTGTTCCGAAAAATTCAATGAATGTATTGACTGATAATGATCGAGGGTCATCATCATTACGACGAACAGATATTAATCGAATAACAATGGCACAATTAGGTTCTACAGTTGATGAACGTCCATCAGCTGTTCATAGTTTTTTTTCAAAGTCCTAAATAAAGTATAGTTCGATAGAATTTTAAAAATTTTTTATTTTAAATAAGAAGATCATCTTGATTGGCAAGTCTTATGATCACGTCTCAAATTTTGATGTGAATAGTTACAATCAGACCTGAAGGAAAATTCGAGGCATGTATTTATTTAAAGACTTTGATTCGAAAATTGAATGTCATTGATACGAGTCGTCTATTTAAAAAAGCAACAGTTAATAATTCAACATGAAAATCAGTTTCAGAAAAAAAATCAATGATTTTTTGCAGAAAGAATATTCAACCAATAATCTTAATTCATATTAATCTCTTAATAAACTTGCTAGAAAAATCATATATGTTTCTCCTACATCAACACTGATTGAACATGTGTTTTCTCAAAGTAGTTTTTTAAAAGGTATCCTCCCCCTTTCCGTGGTTTCTGGGGAACGACTCATTAGGAAAAACTAGAAATTTTCAGAATAGGTAGATGTCATCGAGTAGAGCAGGAGTTGCCATAGACTCAAAGTTTTCGGATCCTGTCTTTCATGAGATACTAGGACCGCAATGGTCTCTATTTCTCTGAGATGCTATATTTGATCAAACTAAAAAATTCTTTTTTACACGCACTAAACACTGTTTGAGGTGGATATCTTTTTTATTTTTTACCCTTCGAATAAAAAGCCAAAATATGGAAGATACCTTGAGAAACACATGGTTCTTTTTTTGAACAGAGCTTTTTTTGTAAGTGCCACGAAAAATCAGCAGAACGATATTCTTTGAAACGAAAAAAAAAACCACTCATTCTAAATAGTGTATACTCTATGTGCAAAACAAATTCCAACTCGATCGGACGCGTAGTTGGTCGAAGAAACGGGAACATTTCTGGGCTTTTTTTTAATGAACAAGTTGGTTTGAGAAAAACACGAAATAATGTACAGTTTTCGATAATTTGATTTCTTATCGAATTTTTTAAAGTTTACAAATAATTTTCGGATCTCAAAATGTATACAGTAGGTAGATACTACTTCAGACTATACAATGGCTACAAAAAATTTGTTTTTTTCTTGTACATAAAAATTTAGAACAAGATATTTGTGTCATGAGAAATTTGTTATTAACGTTCTTTACCGAAATAAACAGGAAAAAAAAAGAAAAATTATAAAAAGACTTGACTCACCCAATCCTGAATTTTTAATTATTGTGTCACGCAAGTTATAAAATGTAGATGGATTATAGATATGTGTAGAATAGCTGATGAAATAAGTAATCCTTATTAGATGAGGATCCGATGAACTCGAGTTAAAGAATTTGTTGAGTTCATTAATCTTGTCTAATGCATTATTTTGAAGAATATACTTTTTATAATTATATGAATATTCAAAATTCAAGAAGCATTGACTTCTTGTGTTAAGTTGAGCCACGAAAACTTTTGTTTTTATTTTGTACATAATATTTTTTTTTTAATTTAAGAAAATAATAAATACAAATAAAATCGTTCATTTGAACAAACATTATATTTCATTCATTATTATTCTGAAAATTTATATTTCTGTTTATTATTTTCAATATTTCTATGATATTTAAATGGTATTGGTTTAATAAGTGATGATAAATGAGAATTTGTGTCATTATTAGTTATTGTATTATATGTTTGATATAATTGATCATTTGTTGTTGATGAAAATGATTGATAATCTTTTGGTAAATTTATAATTGATTCATGATATTTAGGTAATAATTCTAAATGAGATGATGGCATTGATATTCTTTGTTTAGTATTTTTACGTGTAGATGATGACATTGAATTTGATAATGTATGAGAAGAATTTAATGAATATGGTGTTGATGGTAATGTATGACTACGTGATAAACGTGTTTTAGCTTGTGTTTTTGTCATTATACTTTCAACAAGTATAGGATTTGTTTGAGTTATTAATTTAGGTGTTAGTAATGGTATTTCAATTGATAATGATGAAGAATTTTTTTTATGTCGTTCTCGATATGTTTCAATTATTTGTAATATAATAATAAATATAATTGTAGCCATATAAAAAATAAATATACTTATAGTAATATAAACAAGTGAAAAATATTCTGGATGATCTTCAGCTTGTATTACACATAGAATAGCTATACCAGCAAGAATAAGATTAAATAGTCCAAGTATATAAAGTGAACGTTGAGCCATCATTCTTTTAATATATTGATAAATTAATGATATAGTATTTATTCTATTATTTAAAGTATATATTTTAATAATATGAGGATTCGATAAATATGATAATGATTTTCTGTGTCGCGTTTTTAATGGATAGACTTCTTCATGAATTGATAAAATACTTTCCATTGCGTCTTTTTTTTTTTTTGTTTTTTGTTTTTGTCTTAGCTTCTTATCTTCCTTTTTTTTTATATATATGTGATCTTTTCTACTATAGCTATAGAAGTAGCATCAAATATCAAATAGATCGAATAGCATCAAAAAAAATGTTCTTATGAGACCTATCGTCGTTGTTTCATTGTCTGTTTCCCATGCGTAATACATTATTCGACGTTCATCATCATGCTATGCACATACATATTGAATCAAATGTAAGTTGGGTGCCTTTCGCTGCTTTCTCTTTCTTTTCTAGTTCCCAGTATTGTATATAGAGCTTCTAAAAATTCATTAAATGACGTCCTAGGATGTAGAAGACATCCATGTCGCTTTTGTTATTATTGTCGTTATAAAGCAACCAAGGAGATAAAATAAAAGAAGAGAAAATATTTATGAAATAAATCAAATCGAAAGTTTTTCTTTTCTTTGTTTTTAATTATTATTATTGTTATTATCTTACTTAATACGTGATTGAATTAATTTTTAATACAATATAATAAAATTATTCAAATAATGAGAAAATGATTACTTAATTGATAGACAAAAATATTTTGAATCTGTAGTCTATAATATTAGATGAAAAATTTAATTGTTATTTTTCTTCCTGGGTGGATTCACATGAATAAGGGAAATTGATTTTTTTTTTAATCTGTATCAGCAACTATCTCCTATGACATCATTGACACAAAACTTGTTTTTCTATATAAAGCAAGATAGTATGGTAGCTAGAAGGTTGAGATACATCATGTCCTATGAAAGATCGTTTATATTAACCTAGAAGCCTCTTCATTTCTCTAAGACATTAAGAAGTGATGTTACTGGCATATATCACTCACAATTCTTTAATTACTTCTTTCTTTCTCGCATAGCTTCGGATGCAACATATTTCAAGTACAAACAGTAAAAATCAACAGTTCTAGACACCGCATGCGTATTCGCGTTTCATGCCAATTATCAACTTATTTCGTCATATCTTGATTTAGTGGGTGTAAAACACACACACATTCTATTCCTTAAACAAAAAAAAAAAAGAATTGCTTGATAGAAGAGTATAATAACACAGTCTATATGTTTCGCTCGACAAACGCGTAATTGACACCAACTATCTAATACACATAACTATTATCGAGACTAAAAAAAGATTCATGGGTAGAGTTCTAATTACATTGTTTTGTTTTGTTCTTTTTTTTTTGATTTTTTAAAGAAAGCAAAACAAAAAGTTTTAATATATTATCATGCTTCGTCATTTAACATTAACGATTATTATTTTAATACAATTTACAGAACAAGATTTAACACAACAGGTAAATCATATAAATTATTTTTTGATTCACAAGACTCAATATAAATAGAAAGATAAATAAAAAAAACACGGTTTAAATCGATATAAAAAAAGTCAGGTGGTTATTTTTCATGTAGAAATTTGATAAAATGTATTTGTTTTCAAAGTTAAATCGAGTAATTTTTATCAAATGCAAGAAAAAAATACAGAAAAAGAATTTCGCTTTTTCTTTTTGTTATTCTAGAACGATACAATTATTGAAACAACAACAACATTCAAATTATCAGTTAATGAAAAACTGAAGGTATGATAAAAAAAGAAGAGAACTTTTTCTTTTTTTTTTTTTTGTATTTTCTAATTCAAAAAGATTGATATATAGAATGAGATTAGTTATATTAAATTTCAGAAATATCTCAAAGCAGCATTATCGAAACACAAAGTATGTATGTATTAGATAAAAATCATCTTTGCATGTGATAGATGATTAAAGTTCGACAGTTGGTTAGATTGACATCAGTATGTCATGACAGTTGGCATGCGTATATATTTATCATTAGAGTTTGTAACTTAAAAATGAATAGAAATATTTAATAGTATAAATAGGAAGTGTTATTATCTGAAATTAAAAAATTTAATCTTTATGAAAAGTTATCTTAGACGTTTGAAAGATTAACACGACTTGAACTCTATTGTTTGTATACTAGAAGAAAATTTTTCTATATTTACCATATTCAATCGTGGAGAGATATCGAATATATATTTTTGAAGAGTAACATGTAAAATATCAGTCAAGAAAAAAAAAATTTTATGCAATTTGCATGAAGTCTAAGAGAATACTACATCGATAAAAATTTTATCAAAGTCAGTTCTTTTTACTTTTTCTCTATAAAGTATCACTTTCTCAGTATTTTGTGAATATATCTCTTAGTTGTTGATGATTTGATTTGGATTCTTTTTTGCAAAAAATAGCCTATGCAATTCGTTACAAAATCCAATAAAAAATAGCTCTTCAAAAGGGTAACTTACAATGGTTTGAAACCTGTATCCTCAAGAGAAGAGAAATAATTAGTTTTTTAAAAGAAAAAAAAGTGTCTGTGAAAGTGGATCTTTTTGGAGTATAGTTTTGCTGATTAGATATGGTTTCCAGGCTATCCTTTTGAAGAGCTGTTTTTGTTGAATTTTATAGGGAATTGCATAGGCTATCTTTTGCAAAAAAAGAATTCAAATCAAACCATCAAAACCCTAAGAGAGATATTCACTAAATCGGCTTGTCCATGTAACTCCGTAACAGCGTTACGTTTTTGCTCATTTTGTTTTGGCCATAACTTTGAAAGGACAAGTCGTAGAGAGGCTAGCGACATCTTAAATTGAAGAGAAATTTGTTTTGAAGATTTTGACATGTGTTCAAGCTCGTAAAAGTGTTTCCTCGAAAATCGATCACTGAAATGCTAGCACCTACTTTTGTAAAATCCATCGAAAAAGGGAGTGTCAGTATTTTGGTTATAGATTTTTGGAAACGCATTTTTATGAGCTCGAACAGATTTCAAAATCTTTAAAACAAATTCCTTTTCAATTTAAGACGTCGCTCGTCTCTCTACGACTTGCCCTTTCAGAGTTATGGTCAAAACAAAATGAGCAAAAACGTAACGCTACTACACTCTGTCGCTAAAATTTTATTGATGTAGTACAGAGGTCGAACCGGGTTTTTTTGGATCGAGTTTGGTTCGGTTCAGATTTACTTTTGAAAAATTGGTTCGAGTTCGTTTCGGTTCGAATCCATTTTTCAGAAAACGGTTTGGGTTCGGGTTCGGTTCGGATCGAATCCTTTTTTTGACATTCAGTTCGGGCTCGGTTCGGTTCGATTCGACTAGTATGAGTTCCACCTGATCACAAGTAGACCACAGGTGAAAAGTTGTTTCTCAAACAATCAAAGATCTCACATCAAGATTTATATTTTCATGAATTACCAATAATTTATACATTTGTGGATTAATATAAATTTTTAATATTTAATACATAAAATCAGTAGTTTTTTAGTGTTGATATTAACCTCACACTACTATCCACGATTATTCATTACACTTTAGAAAAATGTCACAATTACGAAAGAAAAGAATAAAAGTATTATGGCGCATCGAATGACCTATCATCATAAACACATTTAGTCCAACTCCTATGAAGAGAAAAAAATTGCTATACACGAAACTTAAATTAAACATGTGAAACAATCAATAAAAACTTGTTTTATCTTCGTCGACCGTGTCATCGTTTTTCACATCGATGATAATTCAATCAATCATTTTTCATTTAACGTTACACAACATTTCACTATGTTTTGGAGAAGCAGTTCGAGTTCGGTTTGGTCCGTTTTCGACCTCTGATGTAGTACTCTCTTAGAGTTTATGCAAATTGAATACCAGGTTTTTTTTTTGATTGATAGGTTAGATGTTACTCTTCGAAAATATATATTCAATATCTTTCCATGATTGAATATAGTAAAAATAGAAAAAAATAAATAAAAAAGGAATCGGAACTTATGAAACACCCTTTATATATGTATGATTCATTATATCAGCAATATATATCTATATAAGAAGTAACAAAATATTTGTTTAGTTATCAAAGAATAAACTATTTGATTAATATAGGTCTCTTGAAGATTGATTAGGTGAGAATATCAAAAATTTGATGATTTATTTGAGAAGAATTGCTTTTTTTATAATATCTTATAGAATTTCTATATTATTTCAAAACATTCTATTGACAAATGAAAACATCTTAGTTACTTTATCTGCTCGTGGATTTTCATGATGTGGATTATTACTAATTGTAATCTATTAATCATTGTAACTTTTCGAGAAGAACATTAGAAACAGATAGAAACAATATTCTACAATGTCATTTTTGTATATTGCATCATTAGTGTAGATTTAGATACTCGTGCTTATCTAAAAAAATTCAATTAGGTCGACGAAATGCCCTTATCATAGATGACTAATATTTTTCATAGAATAACATTTTAAAGAACATTCTAAGCAACTGTTGGATATATTCTTATTAGTAGCTTACATTCTGTAGAATATTACTTTTATTATTTGAAAGAAAAAAAACGTTTTATAATACAAATCTTTTCATTAAGGCGATGAGAACAACCAATATAACTAGTAACTTTACGACATTAAACAAAGTAAGTTATTTTGTTTACTTATGTTATTCTATGAACTATAAAAATTATTTCTAGCCTATACTTCCTCCACCAAATAAAATTTTTCATGAATATTTACGATGTCGTCAATCAAGTTCAATCCATGGATTACCTAGTATATTGATATATATTTTTTTTTGCTTCATTCTTAATGTAATAAAATGATTCTATTCAGCTCCTAATTCATGTCCATATGAATTCGAAGAAGATATTCGTGTTTGTTGGAAAGCAACACATAATGGTACATATGCATCGTCTATTATTGACTATGATCATGGTTTCAATAATTTTTATCATAATGCTCGTTATGGCATTGAGAATTGTTAGTTTTCTTTGCTTTTTTTCTTTTATTGTCTTTAACATTATATGAATAAAATAGGTACATTACAACGTTTTTGTCAAAATAATGGAACTTGGGCAATGACTGTTTCACCTGACCTTCAATGTAAAACATGTATTGATGATAGACGACCAGTAAAAGTAAAAAGAATTTTTAATGAATCTATATTCATTTTTTTTTCTCAATTTTGATTTTGATTTTTTGATTTAGTTTAATTCAATCAGTATTATGATTGAAACGATGAGTTTAAGTTTATCTCTTATATCTTTAACAATTGCTATTTTATGCATGCTACATGTCAAGTATGTTTGTTACTTTTTTGTAAAACTTTTCGGTCTGAAACCTTCTGATGTAAATCGACCTGTATATTCACCACATAGATATCCCATATCTCATTTTTCTGTTATTCCTTCTAATATACCCCGTATATGCCGATACATTCTAAAATTTAGACGATTGCATTTACCCCGAAACCTGCTTCATATGCATCTATTTCTTGCTTTTATTCTTCGTTCTATTGTTAAACTTATATTTATACATATAATTATTGGTGGTTATACGTATACAATGATAACATATACACGGGATAAATGTGGAAATATAGAAATTCTTTCAAAATCATCAAATTTATTTCATGTATATATATATTAAAAATTTGATTTAAATATTTAAAAAAAAATATCTTTTTTTTTTTTTTTTGTTAAGGTTATTGGTTGTCGTATATTATCGTCATTATTTTGGTATACAGATGCTGTCGCACAAACATTTATATTTTGTGAAGCTATGTTTTTATTTACAGCATTAACAACTCATTTATTTCGTGATCGTGGTTGTACATTATTTGTTCTATGGGGTTGGTTAAGTCCATTAGTTTGGTTAACAATGTGGATTGCATCACATATAGTAACAGATAAATTAAAACAACGATCAACATGTTGGTTAGAAGCTGATCATACAACATATTTTTATTATTTCTTTTATGTTCCATATGCCTTTTATTTAATTATTAATTTTGGTATATTTCTTTTTCTTGTTCGATTACTTTATTCAAAATATCGATCAAATTATGTTTCAACACATCGAACTGGAAATCGGTTAGTAGAGAGTTTTTTTTTCATTATTGAAAATATGAGTATTAGATAAAATCAATGGAATGTTATAAAAATGTTTTTTCCAGATTGCTATAGATAATTATTCCTTCAATTCATTTTTTTTGGAAGGGAAGGAAGAGCATAAAACAATTCGAAAGAATTCTTTATAGCAGATTTTGAAGTGGATTGTCCGGTACGAACTTTATTTCTTTTTTCTTAACTTTAAAGATAGATTTCATTTGATTTTAATCTTTCTTAATTGATTTAAAAAAAAAACAGTTTTAATCGATCAAATTAGATTAAAATCAATTGAAACCTATCTTTAGAGCTAAAAAAATCAGAATTAAATAGCGCCATTTGAATATGTTTTTATTCAAAAAAGAAAAAAAAATAATCGTTTTTATTTTGATTTTTCGTCAAAATTTTTGTACACTGGTTATGCACCTCGCAATTGATAACAATTAGAAATTGTTGTTATGCGAATATTTTCGAAATGTCATTCAGTCAATAAATAAAAATAGAGTATTTATTCTTTTCATTGATATTTCTCATCCCTATATATAGGATCAAGTGTACTAACCACTGCATTAAGTGACATGAATGTTTACTGTATACTAAAATTAACAGTGTAACTAAAAATAGTAATCGATCTGACTCTTTGAAATTGATCAACGAGCATTTTACTCATGAGAGTTCATGTTAATAAGCGATAACCTTCAAGAAGTTAACGTATCCACGAACATTTCTTTTTCTTTTGATGCAATAAATAACTTGATTTATCTCTCATGCTATTTTTTATTTTAAGTATTAAAATTATCTGACTTTATTCAGCTTGTGATCACTATGAAAATAAACTCTTTACAATATTCCAATAAATGACTGTAATAATTGGAGTTTCATCGTTCAGAAATCCTTTTTTCTGTAAAAGAAATATACTTTTAATAGTATCATTCTGAATTAAGCCGAGTCATCAAAACGTCACTCAATATCGGAATCTTTTAAATCAAATAATAACACGGCTTGAATCCATTATTGATGTATAAAATAAGAAATTTGAACATCTCTAAATCTATGTAGATGTGTATTCACTATTAAAAAAGCAATACGATTGTATTTTCTATTGTAATCTTATGAATATTGAAACGAATTCTTATTTTGTTATTTTAGACATCTTATTAAATCAATACTTATATTAATTCCATTATTTGGTCTTCATTCATTATTTGTTATGTGGGTTTTTTACCATAAAAATCAAGGTCATACAATATGGTATTATATTGCTGTTATATTTAAAGCTATTTTTGGTGATCTACAGGTAATAATGAAGTATATTTAATTATCATGATTGTTTATTTTTTTTTTGTTTATAAAAACAAATTTCTTTAAGGGTTTTTTCACATCACTTATATATTTTTATTTTAATACGGAAATTCGTTCGGAAGTTGTTCAACAATTTCACCGTACTTTATTAAGTAATGATGCTCTACGACGTAGTTCAGCTGGTGATACATTATCAACACGTTTATCTGTATTTCGTATATCATTAAATCGTCGTCGACGTTCATCAAATCAAAATCGTAGTGAAAAATCTCGTAAAACAACATTATGTTCTTCACCACAAGTTTTAAGTACACGTCAAATATATTGGAGAAAATTTCTTGTATTTATTTGTCCTTGTTTATTTAATAATAATAATAATAAAACATTAGAACAAGTAAATGAACCACAACAACGATTATCTATTAAACCAATAAATTATCAAAATGAAACATTACCAATTATTCAAATAAATTTAACATCTGATGATAATATAGATGATAGAAGATCATCTTTACTTCTTCAAAAACGTTCATCAAAAGGTATAATTGATAATGACAGACCAACATGTGATACACTTATTGCAAAAAATGAAAATGATAATGAAGATTTATCAACCGATGCAAATGATGTTACTATTAATCAAACATCATTTGCTGGTGAACAAACATCAATTATATTAAATAATACATCATTACTAACACGTAATGATATTAATAATCATCATATACGATCAAAAAGTACTGGATGTAATTCAAATGAACGAGCATCTACATATGTTGACGATAATAAATCATTAAGATAAATATTTTTCTTTAATGATAATTTATATCAAGAAAATAACTTATTGATAAAAAATTTTTATTGTGACTTTTCTTGATTTGAACTTGTATAGGTTAGGTGTTTTTCTTTTTTTTTTCTTACATTCCTCTGTTCGTTTATGGAGAGAAGAAAAAAAATATGAAATAAACAAATAAATAAATATATATTATGTTCTTCTTAGAAGAAGATTAGAAGAGAAATTTTGTCTAATAGATAATATTAAATATGAACTAATAATTGATATTTCTTGAAAAGCTATTAGTACAATTCCTACAAGATTAAAATGTGAAACACGATGAAACTGCTTATATTGTAAAAGAAGAGATTAATCAATCTATATTGTGGTTTATGAATTCTTTCCTACTGGTAATGCATATTAGTAATGAAAGATATTAATTACAATATGTTGCAGTGGGTTTTAACCTTGCGGTTGTGTCTGTCACCGTCAGTATTAGTACCTACATGATATCTGTCACATTTGTTGGTAGGAGGCGGAATTTCTTCCTCTATACTTCAACACTTATATTAGATCGTATTTTACAAAATACAATATTTAAAAATGTATTCTGTCAATCAATAAAATCAATCTGTTGTAATTAGAATGAAATTCGGAGAAACTATTCGTTTTTTTATAGAATATGCTACTACAAAAAAAAATCTAAAAGTTTATCTGTCACACTCATGTATATTTATTAGAATACGTTAGATTTCGAATGTCAATTTCAAAGTCATAATACTATTCTTTAGAATTTCATATTTGAAAAATTTTATGACTTGTTAACCATTTAATTTCACCTTAACTAATGTGGCACATAGATAGAACAAAGACAGTACTATTCGATTTTCGAAATATTTAAATTTTATCATCTGACGAGTGTTCGAAAAATATTTTGATAAAATTGAAATTCATATTTTTCCTGTACTAAACTAATGCTTTACATCTGATTTTTTTGTTACATGAAATATACACACACACACACTAAGGACCTGCAAAATCAAAGTATCGAAAATGATTGTTTATTTTTTGAAATTTTTCTTAATTTTTTTCGAAAGTCTTTTTTTATAGTTCGGACAATATTAATGTCAATTTGTTTCTATTTTTTTAATAAATATAACTGTTTTCCTGTCTCTCAATCTCGGTCATGCATTTTATTAAGAAACATTCAATAATAATTTTTTTATGAATCGAAGCTTTGTGAAATATTTCCTAACTTACCTTACTATGGCACAAATTTGATTTTGTGCTAAAGTTACATTTGCAAAAAAAGAAAAAGAATATATCAAAGAATTGAAACAAGTTGACATTTATGTTGTCGGAATGATAAGAAAAGGCTTTCGGATTAAATCCAGAAAAGTTAAAGATAAACAATCATTTTTGATACTTTAATTTTGTAGCTTCATAGTGTGTGTATATATTTCGTGTAAAAGAAATCAGATGTAAATCATTAATAGAACATAGGAGAAAAATGAATTTCAATTTGGTCAAAAATATTTATTGATTTGAATCATTTGACTAATTTTTTCAGAGATATTCGAATTAGTAAAGCAAACAATATTTGCTAGTTTAATATCAGATAAAACATTAGTAAACATAAAATATCTACATGGTTTATCATAAGTCACGTATTAATATAAGTCTATACAAATATTGAGATGCCATGAAATGTATATTGTATCAATCAACAACAACAACAAAGTAATGATGTTCTTCTTTTTATAAAGTTTTTGTTGTAATCTTATTATTATTATTATTATTATTCAGTGAGTTCATGAAGAACATTCCTTCCTAAACTATTCAACGTTCGCAATCTCTGGATACTTGATGCCGGCACTATCGAAAAAAAAAAACTTCGATATACCATTATATATAATTTTCCTTTTTTCTCACCTTCAAGAAAATTTTGTTTTGATGTACTTTCACGTAATCTATTTGCATATTGAATAGCTTTAATCAATCGACAAGTTTCAGATACACTTCGACCAACTTGATAATCATTAACAGTAGCTTGACGAAGGATACCATTATCATCGATAATAAACAATGCTCTACCAATAATAATAAAATAATAATTAATGATTAAAATATAAATATTTAAAACAAACCGATGGGAAATTCCAAGTTTTTCATCAAGAACACCATATTTTTTAGCAATTGTCATTGATTTATCAGCAATCAATGGAATACGAAGACCACGAATACCACCTTCTTTATGTGTCATATTTAACCTATTAAAATCAAAAAATTAAAAAAATAATACAATAAAATAAAATTTGAAAGTCGAAATGAATATAGAAACCATTTTAAATGACTATAATGACTTTCAGTTGCACAACCAATAACATGGGTATTGATTTTCTGAAAATCATTCAAATGATCACTGAATGCAATTAATTCTATTAAAGAAAATAATTTTACAAAAAAGTTCTTTTTGTTTTTACATTTATTTCAAACAAACCTGTTGGACAAACAAAAGTACTAAATATTCAAAAACAAAAAGATGATTATATATTTATTGTTTATTATGAAAAATAATCTACTTACAAGTCCATTGGAAAAAAGAGTAAAACAAGATACTTTTTATCATAATCACTTAATGATATATTAAATACTTTATTATCAAGTACTGCTTTTTCTTTAAAATCTGGTGCTGGTTTACCAATAGTAGGAAGAGACATTTAAAAAAGAAATATATCAAAAACGAAAAACAAAAAACGTTACGTTAGTTGATACCGACGATAAAATGTATTGAAAATGTGCAATGCATGAGCGAGCAACAAATATACCCTCGTTCTTTCCATGCTTTCATCCATGGACTATTTTATGTCGTACCGTATTATATGTTTTCTTTTTACACGTCACACTTATTCTTTATGGCGTATTTCTCTATACAATAGCCGTGTTACATGAGAAAGTTGGTATAGGCTATCTTAAGAACGGCTGAACGTATCGAGCTGTCCGCTGGTACTTAAGGGTTTCTCGACATGCTCTTTCTTTTGTCTAGTTGACACTTTTGTCCGAAATGCTCGGAAGTAGGTTTTCTAGAAAACCGTGGTTTTGGAACCAATGGTCGCGAAAGTTTTTTGTTTTAACAGTCTATAATGATAGAGCAACCAATTCTCTACAAAATGAGATGTCTCTGAGCTCTCTACGACGTTTTTTGGTCGAGTTACATTAATTTTAGTGAAGAGCAAAAGCCATTTTTTCGTTTTTTCCCGGAGGAAATAGCGGAAAAAAATGGCTTTTGCTCTTCACTAAAATTGATGTAACTCAGCCAAAAAACGTCGTAGAGAGCTCAGAGACATCTCATTTTGTAGAGAATTGGTTGCTCTATCATTATAGACTGTTAAAACAAAAAACTTCCTTGATCATTGGCTCCAAAACCATGGTTTTACAGAAAACCTACTTCCGAGCATTTCGGACAAAAGCGTCCGCTAGACAAAAGAAAGAGCACGTCGAGAAACCCTTAAGTACCAGCGGACAGCTCGATATGTTCAGCCGTTCTTAAGATGGTTTTCTCATGTAAAACGCCTATTATCATCTGTTTCATTTGAGTATTATTTTCTTTTTTATTATAACATTGTCGATTGTTAGCTTTTAAAACAGTGATACGAATCAGTGAATCATAATGAATGATTACTTTATTGTGTATGATCTTATCATTATCTAATACGTTTTGTTAAAAAAAAAATATACCAGAAGGTGCAACGCAAAACAATACAGAATTTATAAACAAAAGTTTATTTTATATGTACATGTTTTATTGTAATAATAGATAAAATTCTCTTCGACCAATTTTTGATTCTGTGAGTATGATTATTTTTTTCATACACGATCAATTTACTTTGTTTTTATCTCATTGATTGAAAAAAGTTGTCTTATTCATTGACGAAAAATACTTTGCATTAGAATGTTTTTATGTTGTGAGTCGATGAGAAACTGATGGATGAGAGAACATAAATCAAAAGAGCAAATATTTCAAAAAGAATTATGATGTCATTAGGCGCTTGTAAAAATAGCTTTTCGTCTTCAATTGTATTTCAACCTAATGACACATTATTACATGAGAATATTATTGAAGTTGTTCTTTCACATGTTCGATATCAAAGTAAATGGTTGCTGGGCGAAGGGGGAGAAATCAACAGTTTCGTCTATCAATAAGAAAATGGAATACCTCACAGACATCAGATGCCAGGAACTTTAGTATCATAAGAATTTTATGCATTTCATAAGCAAGTACAGACAGCCACCATATATTTCTGATCATAACGATGTTGCTTTATTATCTATGAGAGACGTCAACACTAATAATATGCAATAATCCAGGTCAAAAGTGTGCCATCGAATTCTCTCGGATCTGCCTCAATCCGATGAAATTCGACGGACGGATTCTATAGGATTCAGTTGTCGGAATTCACTTGGTTCCATCTGTTTCCGAAAAGTTACTCATCGGATATTTTGATTGAAGGAGTTGTCGAATGCGTTTCAATATTTTCTGAAGATCATATGTACACTACTAGCCAGAAGTTCCTGGACGTATGAAACTTCAAGTGAAGATCAATCGTTTTCTCAACCTGGCTCATCCATTATTTCGAACTTTTTGCTTTCTATGTTTCCGAATATCACCGATTTCTTCTAAAAAATGTATATCGGAGATGTAACAAGTTGCAGACTTCAAAAAGCAAGAGTGAGCTAGGTTGAAAATTTCTTTAAATATCGAGATTGTGTTTACCGGACTGAAAGCAATATTTGATCTCTAACTTCATTTCTACTCAGTATATTCGACCTTGGATTGGTACTGACGATCACAGTTTTTCACGCTGCACTTCTGGTAAAAATACCATAGAAAACAATTGATCTTCACTCGAAGTTTCTTACGTCCAGAGCCTTCTGGCCAGTAGTGTAATAATGATCGTAACAAAGAAATATGATAAATTTGCTATTAAATATTTATTTCGATAAAAATTAAAAAAAATGCGATTAAT